AGGGGGTGAGAAACACCCCTAATATTCCATCATAAGATGTTAATCATTTTTGGGGAAGGGGTGACGTGAGGATTGTGATCTAGATCTGGTTCTCCCTCTAGTAGTCTTACGGGAAGACCCAGCTATTCCCTTGGAGACACTTCTATGTATCACAGTAGGTGTTCCTTTATATAGTTTTTGGAGTTCATTAACTTATTTCTTTATCTTTTTGGCAGTGTGAATTTTCCAGCCCTCCTCTAAAGTATACTACAGTTTTATCAGTGTTTAAGTTTTAGGAACTGTTGAGGTGGGGCAGCCCTCAGTCTCAGCCTCAATTTCACTAGAGATCACAAGATCAGTAGAACGTGGGGATACAATCTCCACATCAACAACTTCCTTCCATATAGGATGTAAATGTTCTAAATCGGGGTTTTTGGATGGAGTGGAAAAAGATCCAAGGTGATCTCCAATTTCATTTTGTGGCCTAGTGATTTCAACAATATATATATATATATATATATATAATCAGGATGAAGGGTGGTGGTTGTCCCCCCTGTTGCTCTGCTAGGGTTTAGGCACAATGGCTCAACTTGCTGTGGAAAAGGGCTTAATCCTTGCTACCTTTTGCTTTCAACTGGATTTCTCTCATCTCATCACTGGTCATTGCAAGTTCTTTGACTCTCATAGCTTTTACACCTTCCCGGGTTCTAGTTTTTCAAACTTTTACTGTTCCATTGCTTTGGCCATAGTTTGTCTTTGTTTGTCTTCTTTCTACTGTGAGGTTGGAACTTTGGCATCCCACTGGAAGTCTAGACTTCTCTGGGTCCTCTATCTTTCTCTTATTCTATATTGCAAAAGGTTATTCTATACTATCTATTGCTTAGCCTCATCGTGGTTTCTGCCTTTAGTTGTTTGCTTGGAGCATTCTTCCTGCTGTGAGGTTGAGTTCCTCTAGACTTTCACTGGCTGAGGACTGCTTTGGGTTACTCTATCTCTGATATACCCCTTAAGTAATGTCAGACCCAATTCCTATTGACATTTCTGCCAACATTCAATGGGCCAAAGCCACTTTTGCTGACATTGTGGGGGAAGGTGACCCTCTTTTCAAACCCATATGCAAGAAAGGTGGGAAGTTGGCAATCTATTTTTACAGAAGAGGACCTAAATGGGCTAACTGAATGTCAAAAATTCACCTTAATTGGTAAATTCCAACTTGGCCATCCAAAGATGGAGTCTGTGAGAAGATATTTTGATGGACTGAAATTCAAAGGGGCTTGGAAACTAGGCCTACTTGATGGCAGACACATACTTATTAATCTTTTAAGGGAGGAAGACTATGCTAGAATTTTCTCCAAACAATCCATATTGATTGAAGGAATTCTAATGAAGCTATTAAAGTGGACTTCTGAGTTTGATCCCAATAAAGAACTTCCAATTGTCCCCATATGGTTTAAATTACCTGGACTTAAACTACACTTTTTCAACCACAAAGTTCTTTTCAATATTGGCAAAGCTTTGGGAAGGCCTTTGAAATTGGATGGCCCAACTTTCAACTTATCTAGACCTTCTGTAGCTAGAATCTTGGTGGAAACAAATATTACTCTACCAGCTGTGGAGGAAATATGGTTAGGCACTGAGCATAATGGCTACTGGCAGAAAATCATAGCTGAACAAAGACCTTACTATTGCCATCATTGCAATATGTTTGGCCACACTCATGAGAAATGCTTCGGGCTCCATCCTAACCTCAGAAGGAAGATCCCACAGACATCAATCTGAGGAGGTTGCACCATAGAATAAGGAGTTACCTACTGCTACTTATTGTGTTATTAATATGCTTGAAGTGCCTGGGAGAAATGAACATTAGCTGCCCCAAGCTTTGGTACATGAGAGTGTGGCAACAAATCCCCAATCTAATCATGAATCACCAACTGAGCACCTCCACCTTATGCCACATTCTACTCATATTGAACAAACTCTCTGTACTGATCTTTCTACACTTCCTACTGATCAAGAGACAACAGTTATTGAGCTACCAGAGGAGGACCCCTTGATTTTGCAATTAGCTAGGAACCTTGAAGCTGGTTGGCAAGTCCAAAAAACTAAAAAGAAGAAAATGCCTCTGGAATTAAAGAACCTAATCCCCTCTTCATCCTCTTTGGAGGATCCCCCCCTCATTCTTCTAGCTCTATTAGAACTAGGAGAAGAGGGAAATCCACCTCTATTGGTTAATGAATCTACTTTGTTGGAATGTTAGGGGACTTGCACATCCCAAATCCCTTAATAAAATCCTTGCTCTCAACAGGATGTACAGACCTTGGATCATTGCTTTACTTGAACCAATGGTCACTAAAAATGTCAACAGATTTGTGAGGAAATTCCCTAGCTTCCAGCTTCTTATAAATACTAACAGTAAAATTTGCCTTCTATGCAGAAAGGAAGTCCAACGCACTGTTCTTAATGATGGAGACCAATTCATCCATTTGCAGCTTAACTTCAGTTACTATCAGGGATATGCTACCTTCATTTTTGCTGGCTGTACAACTCTGCAAGACTGGACCTATGGCAACACTTACAAGATTTCAGTACCTCTATAAGGGATTTCTGGTTAGTTGGGGGTGATTTCAACAGCCTCTCTTCACCTAGTGAGAAGAAGGGTGGGAGATCTCCTGTTATTAATCTTATTAACACATTCAATGACAACATTCAGTCTGCTAGTCTTTTTGATTTGGGGTACACAGGCCCTATATTTACTTGGAGAAGGGGGAAGATCTGGGAGAGGCTTGATAGATTTCTGGTTAATGACATATGGTTTAGGGAGTTTCTACATACTTCTGTCCAACACTTGGCTATGAGTGGGTCTGATCATAGACCCTTACTTATCCAAATATCTTCTTCCTCCTCTAAAACTAAAGCCAAATTCA